ATTTCTGATTATCCAAGCTCTTACCTCTGACAATGTACTCTTAGAGGTTTCATTATTTGTTTTCTTGGCTGTCACAGGGATGACTTTAAGAATAATTTTTTTTAGGAAACCACACCAAATTTGTATTTAACTATTTAAGGCATTAGATAATTTTTTCAGTTCTTTTCATATGATTGGAGCATGAGGTGACCCTCATGAGCTCATAATCAGACAAATTAGCAAGAATAAGTGTTACATAAAAACACTTTATCATTTATGGATAACTATAACAGAAATTTGGAAATTTAAGTAGAATTACAAAGTGGTAGTTTACTATAGAGTGAATCCTCAAGACAGAAACAAACAAAAAAAAAACACAAGGCCTGCTTAGAAAATGCTTCTGATAGTACTGTAGGCATTACATATTGGATATGCATCCACAATGTTGATGACATTTGAATATATAATGCATGATGCAACAAATATTTGTCTGTTATTGACAAAATGGAAATTCCACACTGAATTGTGAGACACAGTATGAAGTCAGTGGTTATGTGTAGGAGAAGATGATGAAATCATAGGGAAATAATGAGGAGGAGGAAGAAAATGTAGTAATCATCTCATGGTGATTATATTCTCATGAAATTCAAAAGATTTAAATCCTCTAAAATTGATCAGAAGATGACCTTTGTCATTTTATTACTTTAATTTTAAATAGCTTCCTTTACATGTCAATGCCAGTGACCTCTCCCTTCCCTCCTCCAGCAACCCCAACAATACCCATGGACCCCTATTCTTTCCCCACTCCCTTCCAAAAAGGTCATGTCTAGAGTCTGTCATTTCGCTCAGGGCAGGGTCCAGACATTCCCCTTAGAGTCCAGGGTGCGAGATCATGCCTCTTTGTTTTATGGAGACACTTAGTACATGTGTATGCCTAGGATAAATACTGATCTATGGCCCATGGATGATAGTTCTACTAGGTCTTCTTACTGACTATCACACTCAGGGATTGTGGATCAGTCCTTTGCTATCCTCCCAGCTCTCAGTCTGGGATCCAACAGATACCCCTTTTTGAGATCAGCTGTCTCTGCTGGTTTCACCAGCCTGTTCTTGATGAATTTGCTCATCACTCATCGCTCCTCTCTCACTGAACTGGGTTCCATGGGTTCAGTTCAGTGTTTAACTATGGATGTTTGTCTCTGCTTCCATCAGTCACTGGATGAAGGTTCAAGAATGGCATATGGGGTAAATATCAAGTTCATTATCATGAATAGAAATTTAAGGTAGTTTTTTCACTATTGCTTAGCTTGCCAGTTGGTGTCATCCTTTTAGATCGCTACAGGTTTCACAAGTGCCAGATCCCTCTTCAAAACTGTGACTCCCAATATTATTGTATTTCTCATTCTGCTCTCACCTTATTCTACCCTGCCCTCAACATTGCTGTTCCGACAATACCTACTCTCTCCTCCTCTTCTCCCTCTTTCTCTTCTTCCCAGCTACCACTCCTCACAATCTCCTGCCATGTTCCCAATCTGTTCAGGAAATCCTGCCTCATTTCTCTTCCCTTGGGTACCAAGCATGTGTACCTTAGGTTCTTTCCTGTTTCACAGGATCTCTGTCAGTGGAATTGCAGACTGGCACTATCCTGACCCATACCTAAACTCCATATATGAGTGAGCATATACCATGTTAGTCTTTTTGAAACTGGGTTACCTCATTCAAGACGTTTTCTTCTAGTGTCATCTATTTGCCTGCAAATTTCAAGATTTCATTGTTTTTTTTCTGCTGATTAGTACTCCATTGTGTAAATGTACCGTATTTTCTCAATCTATTCTTCAGTTGAGGGGCATCTAGGTTGTTTCAGGTTCTGAAAATTACAAATACTGCTGTTATGAACATATTGGAACAAATGTCCTTGTGTGAATTTCAATCTTCTGTATACATGCCTAAGATTGGAATTCCTGGGTCTTGTGGTAGACTGATTCCCATTTTCCTGAGGAATCTCCATACTGATTTCCAAAGAGGGTGTATGAGTTGACACTCCTGATAGCAGTGGTGTTTTGCAGACCTGCTTCTTGAGTTCTTTACAATTTTGTAGATCAGCCTTCTTTCATATTTGGCTTTAGCGAATATCTTTCTGACTGTGTCCTTTGCCTTACCAAAGTGTCTTAGTTTAAGGAGGCCCCATTTGTTAATTGTTGAAATCAGTGTCTGTGCTACTGGGGTTATATTCAGGAAACAGTCTCCTGTACCAATTCATTGAAGAGTGTCTCCTAATTTCTCTTTTAATAGTTTCAATACATTTGAATTTAGGTTGAGGTCTTTGATCCTTTTGGTCTAAAGTTTTCTTCAAGGTGATAGACATGTATCTATATCCACTTATGCCAGTACCTTTTGATGAACATACTTTCTTTTTACATTGTATAATTTTATCTTCTTCGTCAAGTGTTCATAGTTTTGTGGATTAATCTCAGGGTGTTCAATTCAATTCCGTTGGTCGACATGTCTATTTTTGTGCCAATACAAATTTGTTTTCAAGACTATAGCTCTGTAATAGAGCTTGAAGTTAGAGATGGTGATGCATCATGAAGTTCCTTTATTTTATAGGGTTTTTAGGCTATCCTGGACCTATTTATCCTATTACATTACAATAGCATTCCAGGTCACATAGTGTGGAATTGTCTTGTGAAGTCACTGATGTAGTCACCAAATATTATTGGTCATTCTGTGTTTCTTCATTGAAAAGACCCCAGCTGGGTTGAAGGGCATCTTGGAATATCGTTTTTAACCATCTCAGTCATAACCTTTCAGTTCCAAGTTAAACAGGCTATCTTAAATCTTAATTCATCCAATGGTTTCCAATCTCATCTTTGTTAAATCTCAGTTACCAGATTCACATTCCTTCTCATCTGACCCTGGTCCTGAATTCAAAGGAATACAAGGAAAACCATTCAGTATGAATATTCCTGAGAAAAAGAGAAAAAAGTTTAATATTCAAAATTTTCTGATTTATATTTCTGTGAACTCTCATAATATTCTTTGAGAGTTTCATGATTTACTTTCTATAACTGATAAACAGGTTACTCTAAGTATACGTTTTATAGAAAAGTAATCAAAACCTATACTTAACCATTAAAGCATGATGTAAATTTTACCACTAAACCCACATCTGACAAAAGGCTGGTCTTTGTCATCCTGGTAAGCAGTACAGTTTATAACACACTATCAATATAGCTACTCCTTCTGTGGATCTGGGTATGTGATGACAAACCAAAGTTACAAAGAGAGTTGATGACATAAAATTCATGCTCAATAGGATTATGCTGAGGCCCATGATAAATAACAGGGTTGAAGTGGGGGCCTAGGATACTCATGCCTTTCTCATAGGCCAGTGAACAAGCCCTCATTCACTCAGCAGTGCTTCCCTGTCTGAGGAATCAAGTGAGATCCAGGTACTTTTCTTTAGGAGAGCATGAGTCCTGCCTCAGAAGGCACAAGTACAGGCAATCTATGTATATCAATGCTGGCCAGCATCAGCACTCTGCTATTGTCTATCTCTTCTTTTCTGCATTTCAGTGATTGAGGATGCAGTCTTCTAACCCAGTCATTTCGCATTCAGGTAAGTGGAAATTACATATTAAATGCCTCGGTCTGTTTTGGATATCTGCCTTCAAATATTAGAAAGCATGACCTTCTAGGAATGCAGTGACATTTGAGGCATACCACTTGCACTCTCCCTTTCTTTTGGCAATCGCCTAGGCCTCACACCATGAGAAAAGGTTGGTAACTCAAACTGCCTTAGCTTGTGGAATTCCAAGTAGTATGTACTGGTAAACAAAGCAGTGACTTTTTGCAGAGGTTGGACACAAAGATTGGGCCAGGACGTGCAGGAACTTTTCCTCGCATAGCTGAATTTGACCTTCAAATCCCTGCAATGGGGTATCTATCTTCCTCCTATACTTATTGTTATGGACAGGGCAAGAGTTTCATGTTCTCAGTGGGTCAGGAGGGTGACATGCTCCAAACTTGCAGAGATGGTGCTCAGGAATGTACACTATACATGCTCTATAATGCAGGAAGATCAGTATGTAACTTTTCTTGGGCTCATGTGGCAGACAGCCAAGCACAGTAATCTATTGCAAAAATGTACCCATCAGTTATACAAACACAGATACCTTATCCTTATCCTAGAATTAGTGATCTTGTCCTGCCATGCAGTCTTCAGCCTAATTGTGGTAATTAGATAGGATGCATCTAGCCAGGATTTCCCCCTCTTTGCTTAGATGAAAAGGCTCATCAATATGTAGAGATAAACTCACCACACAGCAGTGTCAAGGTATTGGAAACACATGAATGACATCCCAAGCTGCAAAGTGTTCCATTGCATATGTCATAAGAAATTGCCCAAGAATACAGGTGTAGATATCTTAGCAGGCAGTGATAGGCCAATTAAGAATCTTGTGGGTACTCATCTTACAATGTTGATAAGGCAGTGATGTCAGAGTACAATGGGATAGAGCTATGCCAAAAACTGGACATGAATGGTTTTGGACTTTATAAGAAAATTTTCCTAAACAGAAGATAAAATATTTTCAGCATACCTATACTATGCCTTCTAAATGGTCTGTCAGCTAATGCTATGAATGCAGGCAGTGAAGTTGAGGGTGAAATATTTGAAGGGTTAAACTTGTCTACAGGTACCAAACAGGTAACAAGCTTTAAATTTTTCATTATTACTTCCACACCTTTGATTAACAAATGCCTCCAACTATCGTGTAGAGAGCTTTTGTGTCCCGAAGCTGGGCATTTCAATTACTATTACATTAACATGACATTTTGGTGATGCTGAATATTCCTTGACTAAGAGAACTGATTCTGCTTGATGCCTTGCAGGAGCATAATGCCGACTGACTATTTGACCGAAGCTAGCCGTGACTTTCCTTCTAGTCGGTCTTTGTCATCCTGGTAAGCATCATTGTTTGTGTCCCTCTATCAGGTATAGCTATGCCTTTTGAGGATGCCGGTCTATGATGACAAACCAATGACATGAAGATAGGTGATGACATAAAATGATGCTCAAAGGATTATGCTGAGGCCCAGGCGAATGGACAGGGGAGAAAGGGGGACCTGGTCTACTTAGGCCATTGTCATAGGACAGTGCACAGGCCCTCATTCACCCAGGAGTTAATCGTCTGAAGAATCCTGTGAGGTCCACGTGCTCTTCTTTAGGAAAGCATGAGTCCAGGCTCAGAAGGCTCTATTTGGGGCAATCTATGTATTTCAATGCTGGCCATCATCAGCACTCTGCTCAAGTAAATCTCTTCTTTTCTGCATTTCAGTGGTCCAAGATGCAGTCTTCTAACCCAGTCATTTCACCTTCAGGTAAGTGGAAATTCCATGTTAAGTGCCTAGGTCTGTTTTGGATATCTGTCTTCACATATTAGAAAGCATGGACTTCTATGTGTATCCACTGACTTTTAAGGCATAGAACTTTGGCTCTCCCTTCCTTTTTGGAATCCCCTAGGCCTAAGAGCATAATAAAAGGGTGTTAATTCAACCTGCCTTGTCTTTTAGAATTCCAAATTGTAGGTAATGTGTAACTGAGCAGTGACTGTTAGAAGATGTGGTCCACAAGGAATATTTCAGGAATTTCAGGCCATTTTACCTGAACAGCTCATTGATAGGTGAATGTGTTCTTCAAATATGTTCCATACTGATTGTTACTGTTGGAGCAAGAGCTTCATGTTCTCACTGTGTCAGGAAGGTTTCATGCTCCAAACCTCCATAGATGGCGCTTAGGATTGTCCAGTGTGCAGGCTCTGGACTGCAGGGAGATCACTCGGTTACCTTTCTGGGTCTCAAAAGGGAGACCCAGAGACTCACAATGTTCTAGTGGACTATGTACATATCAGTAAGGCAAACTCAGACACCTTTTTTTGTTAGGAATAGAGAACTTGTCCTGCAAAGCAGGCATTAGGCAACATGAGGCAATTCGATATTGTATATTTGGCTAGGCATTTCAGTATTGCCTAGATGCACAGGCTCATCACCATGTTGAGACCCACTTACCACACAAAATTGGCATGAAATTTCAAACACATGAATGACATCCCAAGCTATAAAGGCCTCCATTCATCATGTGATAAGGAATTACCCAAGAGATCAGTTGAAGGGATCCTAAGCATGCCGTGCTTGGGCAATTAGAAACTTGAGCTTATGCTTCCTATAATGGTGAGTAGTCAGTGATGTCAGAGAGAAATTCGATGGTGCTGTGAAGAGCATATTAGATGTCTTGGATGTTGAAAGACCCAGTGTATGATCAGATGGTAAAATGTTTTTACCAGGCCTATAATATGCCATTCCAATGGTTTGTCACCTAATGCAATGAATGCTGGCAGTGAGTATGAGGGTGAAATATTTGAAGGGCTAAACTTGGCTAGGGATGGCAAATAGGTCCCCTCAATTGAAAATTTATTATTATCTACCTCAAAGCACTGAATATCAATGCCTGCAATTGTCATATTCCAGAATTTGGGCATTAGAAACCTGGGCATTGTAATTCTGCTGACAGTGACTTGCAACTTTGGGACCCCCAAAATTTTCCTTGACTAAGACAGCTAATTCTGCTTAATCTGGGGAATCCTGTGAGGTCCAGGTGCTCTTTATTAGTAGAGTTCTGAGACTGCTTCAGAAGGCACTTGTTGGGGCAATCTATGTATGTCAATGCTGGCTGACATCAGCATTCTGCTCATTTCCATACCTTCTATCTCCATTTCAGTGATCAAGAACGCAGATTGGGTGCCCCAGTCATTTCACCTTCAGGTAAGTGGAAAGATGAGGTTAAGTTCTTCAGAATCTTTTGGATCTCTGTCTTCAAATATTAGAAAGCATGACATTCTGTGAATCCAGTGACACATAAAGCACAGAACTTGTGCTCTCCCTTCCCCTAGGCATAAAATGATTAAAGGATGGTATTTCAAATTGTCTTGTCTTGTAGAATTCCAAGTAGTAGGTATTGGAGGCAGAACAATTGGGGGAGGTGGGACACAAGGATTGGTTCAGGACATTCAGGCCCTGAATGTTGCACAGCTCAGAATAGCTGAATGTGAACTTGAAATTCCTGACGTTGGGTGCCTTTCTACCTCCCTTGCTGATTGATACATCACGGGCAGGAGCTTCATGTTCTTGCTGAGTCAGGAGGGTGATATGCTCCAAACTTGCAAAGATGGCACTTAAGAATATCCACCTTCCAGGCCATCAACTGAGAGAGGTCAATTGGTTACTCCTTTGTGGCTCATAAAGTAGATGAAGACTCAAAAATTTCTAGTGCACTAATGAACATATCAGTTAGGCAAACTCAGATTCCTCTTCCTTTATTTAAGTTTAATGAACTTGCGTTTCCATGCAGGCTTCAGGACAAATGATGAAATTCGACAGGGTGTATCTAGGCAGTCATTCCCATCTTTGCCTAGAAGCACAGGCTCATCATCATGTGGAGACCCACTCACAATACATCAGCAGCATGGAATTTCAACCACATGAATGGCATCCCAAGCAGCAAAGGCTTCCTTTGCTCATTTGATGAGGATACTACTAAAGGAAAGTGTATAGGTATCCTAATTGTGCAGTGCTTGGGAAATTAAGAACTTTCAGGATTCCCATCTTACTATAGTTATTAGGCAGTCATTTAAAGGGGAAATGGTATAGTGCTGTGCAAAAGACAGCAAATGACAGGTTGGACCTTTTATGACACAGTGCATTATCAGATGCTAAAATGTTTTCACCAGACCTATAATATGCCTTCCCAATGATCAGTCAGCTAATGCTATGAATTCAGACAGTGTAGATGAAGTTGAAACAAGTGAAGGGATAAATTTGTATAGGGATGGCTAACAGGTAAACCAATATTCAAAATTTTCATTATCTCCTCCATGGATTTGATTACCAAATGCCCCCAATTATCATGCTCGAGTGTTTGGCCCTTCAGAATCTGTGAATTGCAATTCCTCTGATACTGATATAATATTTTAGCAATGAAAAGTTATCCTTTAACAAGAGAACAGATTCTGCTTGATACATTGCAGGAGTCAAATGCCCACTGACAATTTGTCAGAAGATCACTGATACCTTAGTAAGCAGCACAATTTGTGTCCTACTATCAGTTATAGGTATCCCTTCTGTGGAAACGGGTCTGTAGTGACAAACGAATGATATGAAGAGAAGAGATGATATAAAAACCATGATTAAAAGGGTTATGCTGAAGCCCACTCTAAAGGACTGGTGAGAAAGTGGGGCGTAATATCCTCATGCCTTTATAGTGGTGCAGTACACAGGCCCCTCATTCACCCAGCATTGTTTCCCTGTCTGTGGAATCATGTGAGTTCCATGTACTCTTCTTAGAGGAGCACTCAGCCTGCCTAAGAAGGCACTATTGGGGGAAATCTAAGTATGTCAATTCTGGCAAGCCTTAGTAATCTACTAATGTCAATTTCTTTATTGTGCATTTCAGTGATCCAGGATGCAGACTTGGTGCCCCAATCATTTCAAATTAAGGAAAGTGTGTAAAGATCAACAGGACACATCTGGCCAGGTATTCTCTCACTTTGCACAGATGCACAGGCTTATAATCGTATGGAGACCCACTCATCACACATCAGGGGCCTGGAATTTCAAACACATGCATGACATCCCAAGTTCCAAGGTATTCTGTTGCATATGTGAAAAGGAATGGGCCAAGATTCAGATGTAGGTATTCAGGTGTAGTACTTGGGTAATAAATAACCTTGAGGATAATCATCTTACGATGGTGATTAGGGAGTGATTTCAGTGGGATATAGGATAGGGATATGTAAACAACATCAGATGAGATATTGGACAATTTATGACACAGTGCATGATCAGATGCTAAAATGTTTCCAGCAGACCTATAATATGCCTTCACAATTGTGTGTTAGCAAATCTATGAATGCAATTAGGGACAATGAGAGTGAAACAAGTGAAGGTTTAAACTTGTCTAAGGTTGGCAAACAGGTAACCACTATTATAATGTTTCATTATCTCACCATTAGTGGTGAGATTAGCAATTGCCACTAATTATTGTGCTGGAGAGTTTGGGTGTTCCAAAGTATGGCATTGTGATTCTGCTGACAGTAACCTCCCATTTTGGCACCCCAAAACTTTCTTTGACTAAGAAGGCTAATTCAGCTTGATCCCTTGCAGGAGCCTAATGCCAGCTGACCATTTGTCCGAAGCTCGCCAAGATCTACCTGCTGGATGGTCTTTGTCATCCTGGTAAGCAGTACAGTTTGTGTGCCACTATCAGGTATACCTATGCCTTCTGAGGACGCGGGTCTATGATGACAAACCAATGTCATAAAAAGAGGTGATGACATAAAAATCATGCTCACTTGGATTACGCTGAGGCCCAGGCTACAGGACAGAGGGAGAAATGAGGGCCATGTTTCATCTGGCCTTTATCATAGTGCAGTACACAAGCCCTCATTCACCTAGCATTGGTTCCCTATCTGGGGAATCCTGTGAGGTCCAGGTGCTCTTCTTTAGATGAGCACTCAGCCTGCCTCAGAAGGCACTTGTTGAAGCACACTATATATATCAAGGCTGCCAGGCATAAACACTCTACTCATATCATTCTATTCCCTTCTGCATTTCAGTGATCCAGCATCCTGATTATTCACCCCAGTCATGAGCTATTCAGGTAAGAGGCATGATCCTGCTAAGTGCCTTCATCTCTTTTGGATCTCTGCCTTCAAATATAAAAAAATGACCTTCTAGGATTTCTGTGATACTTGGGGCACAGAACTTGTGCTCTTGCTTCCTTTTGTGGAACCTGAAGATGCAAGCCCATGAGAAAAATATGGTAATTTACTCTGCCTTGTCATGTATAATTCCAACTAATAGGTATTAGGAACCAGAGCTGTGACTGTTGGGGGAGGTGGGACACAAGGATTGGGTCAGAATGATCAGGCCCTGTCCCTTGCACATCTAAGTGATAGGTGAATGTGATCTTGAAATCCATTCCTTCGAAGGTCTATCTAACTCTCATGTTGCCTAGCACTTCTGGGACAAGAGTTACATGTT